AAAGAGAAGAGAAGAGATATTGGAATGAAGAGTGGACTGGAGTGGAAGAGGAGAAAAGAGAAGAGAAGAGATATTGGAATGAAGAGTGGACTGGAGTGGAAGAGGAGAAAAGAGAAGAGAAGAGATATTGGAATGAAGAGTGGACTGGAGTGGAAGAGGAGAAAAGAGAAGAGAAGAGATATTGGAATGAAGAGTGGACTGGAGTGGAAGAGGAGAAAAGAGAAGAGAAGAGATATTGGAATGAAGAGTGGACTGGAGTGGAAGAGGAGAAAAGAGAAGAGATATTGGAATGAAGAGTGGACTGGAGAGGAAGAGGAGAAAAGAGAAGAGAAAAGATGAGAAGAGAAAAGAGAATGTAGAATAGAGTGGAGTGGAATAGAATAGAATGGAATAGAATAGAATAGAATAGAATAGAATAGAATGCTTCTTCGACACTGGAATGATAGTGGAGCGTTTCAAGCAAGAATGAACATCGCACATCTCTAGTGGTTTATTAAAGATGTGGGTGAAGATGGAAGCCAGTTGGTTAGAACAAGCTGTTAAGCAAGAAGTATATATTTCGTGCTTTCGAACTGCTAGGTTGGCAGAAGCTGGGACAAGTAACAGGAGCTCGCTCCGTTATGCGGTACTAGGGATTCGAACCGCCGAACTGCCGACCTTTCTGATCGACCAGCTCAGCATCTTAGCCCCTGAGCCATCATGTCCCTCGTATTAAGTATATACGTATACATGTTAAGAAGGAGTATATATTATAGAAGGCCAGGACAGGAATGGAGGTGTTTTTTTTAGACTGGAACTGCTGGCAGAGGAAGAGAAAAATCTTTTTTGAGCTCAGCTCGGTCGATCAATGTTAGGTAGAGTGATTATTGGCATGATTCTGGCCATGCCACCGTGGGACATGTTAATATATATTTATTAACCCAAGAAAACCTTGTTTGCTCTTAAGAAAAAGGAGTGGATATCCTGCTTGGGAGCGGGAATCGAATAATCAGAATTGTTCTAAAGTTCAACTGTTCCAAGGCAGGGCTGTCACCGTAAGGAGAGTAAACTACAAAACTAGTATTGACTTCTGAAAGTTGTTGGAAAGGGTGTGGCTTTTGCAAGCGTGTGGACCTGTGTGCATTACACACACAGATAACACACACACACACTCCCGCACACCCAGAGAGTTGGGCTTGAACAGACATCACACTAAGCCTTCTACCCTAGTTTCATAAACCGCATTGGGAATAAATAAACTTGTTTGTCGGAGCGCAAGGCTGGTGAATCGGGTGCCTTTAATTAGTCAGGAATCTGAAAAAGTCCGTCCAGTTGAATAATAAAACCTTGCAAATCTGTCTCAAATTAGGCCGAAGCATCCACGATTCGGTGAGGTCCTTCTGTGTTTTATTTGACGGAGTCTCCTTTGGTAGATTGTAGGGGTGACACCGAAATATAAATTTGATCGCGTTTTATTTACCTACATATTCAACGACTGTATTTCATTCCAATGTCATTTTAAAACTGTATTTTAATTCCAGTTTTGTTTTAAATCGTACTTTATTCCAGTTTCATTTTAAACTGTGTTTTATCCAATTCCTTTTTAAATTGTGTGTGTTTTTTTTTTTATAAAATCAGATTTTAGTAATAATTTGTGTCTGGAACTCTGCACTTTGATGTGGCCCAAGGGCTAATCAATAAATTAAACTCTAATTGTTGATAGACTCCCAAGATAAATCTCGCCATCATAGTGAAACAACTATTTCCTAATTTCTGAGAGTTGCATTTTTTAATCTCTGAGAGTTGCATTTTTTAATTTCTGAGAGTTGCTTTTTTTTTAAAAATGGCCCCTTGAGATATGGGCAGGGTAATCAATAAATCTCTGATTAGGGTTGGTCTCACAGCCAGACAGATGTTTAGACTGGATTCTTGGTATTTTTGTCCACCCATCTCTTCCCAAGGAACTGGGTTAGACAGATGTGCGTGTTTGATGGTGTTGCAGTTATTGTCGGAGGACGTAAGCTATTCCAAGCAAAACTGCCTTTTGTAATTGACCGATGGGGGATTTTGTCAATGCAGATGATGTTCAAGGGATTCTCCAGATAATCAATTATTAGTATCATGGCTTGTCGCACAATCAACCAGATGTTTAGACTGGATTTGACATCTTTGTCCATCTGTTGAGTCCTGGGAGAGGCAGGTGTGGATGTTTTGATAGCATTATAGGTCCCATCGCAGGATGTAAGCTGTTCCAGGCAAAGCTGCCCTCTGTAATTGACCAATGGGGGATTTAGTCAATGCCGATGGTGCTTCAAGTGCTTCTCCAGTTGGTTTGGGGTTGCACCCAAGGCACCTGTGACCGTTGGGACTTCCTTTGCTTTCTTTTGACACAGTCTTTCTATTTCTGTTGGCTCTCTTTCAGCTTGCGGAAAAATACGGGCCCGTCTTTACTCTCTATTTCGGGTTCAAGAAAGTGGTGGTGTTGACAGGCTATGAAGCAGTGAAGGATGCGCTTGTGAACTTCACCGAGGAGTTTGTGGACAGGCCTTCCATACCTATATTTGAGCAAATCCAGCATGGAAACGGTAAGCACTTCCTGCCCCCACCCCCCCAAAAGGAAAACACAATGTACCTTCAAAACTGGTTACTCCAATCTTATTTCCTGGTGGAAATCAGCCCCTTTGAAGAACCTCAACAGATGTAGGATGCAGAACATTTCTGGGCAGGGTGGTAGAGATACTAGGTAGACGGAATCTGTCCAGAAAGTTTGGCCGTTTCAATAATAGGACTTAAAGTTTCCAAGTTTGGAGACCCCCTGCTCTAGAGCTTACTAAATACAATTCCTGGCATTGTTCAACAGCAGCTGAGCTGGGTTCGAGCTCCTGGGAGTTATAGTTTTGGTCAATGAGGGGAGAATCCCAATTTCCTGGCTACTCTAGCACTTGAATGGCGTGTATACAAGGTGTACCTTGGTTGACTTCTCATTTGAAATTCCTTCTTCTTCTTTGTGGACTTTGTGGTGGTCCTTGGTTCTCACAGAGCTGGGTTGTTTGTGGAGTTTGTGTGCCTAAATTTCTTAAACTCCACGGGAACAGGAGGAAGCTGTAGGAGAAGAGCAGGAGGAACTGAGGGTGGAGTTAAGCATGTCATCAGCTTAGAGTCCTTAAGCTGCCGCAAGTAATGAAACCACACAAACCACAGTCTTCTTTAACAAGAGTTATTGATGCGAAAGGGATAGTTTACCAGCATGTCTGCAATGGAGTTTTCTTAGTAAAAACTTCTTTTTGTCTTCTTGGATAACATTTCTCAAACTTGGCAACTTTAAGAGGTATGGACTTCAACTCCCAGAATTCTTCAGTCATTCAACTACTCTTGAATTCCATTGACCCTTCTCTTGTGCCAATGTACTATTGAACTCTCACTGACCAGGTGTCATATTGTTTATAAGTTTGAATAAAACTTCCATGCTGCAGCTTCATGGATAATCCTGATCCTTTGCCCTCCACAGTAACCTTGGAATATGAACAATTCTTCTTCAATCGTATCTTCTGCCTTCCCCAACAGGGGTTTTCTTCTCCACTGGAGAGCTATGGAGGGCTACCCGAAGATTTACGGTGTCCACCATGCGCAACCTTGGGATGGGGAAAAAACACATTGAGGAATGCATCCATGAAGAGCTCGGTTTTCTGATCGAGAATATTAACTCTTTCCAAGGTGAGTGTCATGCCCTCGTCGGAGTCTGAATCGGCCAGGGGTGGGGGGGAGATGAGCTGGAACAAGAACTGATAAAGATGGAGACGGCGGCCCCGTTGGCTTTGGAGGAAATTGGGGAAGGGCAGAGTCAGTCCAGGCAAGGCTGTTCTGAATTAGTAAGGCCTGCAGACAGGGAGAGCTCAGGAGAAGAGCAAGGACCACTCCTTCCTGATCCGAGAGCATGGAGGGAAGAGAGAAGGCGAGAACGACACAGACCAAGCCAGCTACGAGGGAGGAGAGTGCCCCGCTCCACTTTCACAAGTCACACCTGGGGACTGAGATGTAAGGAGGTGCTGGTGGGAGGGGTATTAGTCGGGAACAAGCATTGAATTGTGGAGTTGTGCACTTGCCGAAGCCTGAAAATTGCTGGGCTCTGTCTTATGGGTGCCTGCTTCGCTGAACTTTTTGCTCTGGTTACTGTTTAGTTAACCTGGCTTATTGGACTGCTGGCCCTGGTTGCTTTTTGGTTAACCTGGCTTACTGGACTACTTGCAGCCAGAGACTAATGAAGGTGTGTGTGAGAACTTTGCTCCAGGACTTGTAGTGAACGTTTGGGGGCACAGTTGGAGCAATGAAGACCTGTTCTCTGGTTATGTTGCTTTTGTGCCATGTCCCGGGTCATCACAGTGAGCTCAGAAAAGGGAGAGCGATTCCCCTATGTCTAAGACCTCACCAAAGTAAGCCCTTGTTCCAGGCACAAACAACAGTCTTCTTTAACAAGAGTTATTGATGCGAAAGGGATAGTTTACCAGCATGGCTATTTCTTAGTAAAAACTCATTGTGTCTTCTTGGATAGTGTTTCTCAAACTTGGCAACTTTAAGAGGTGTGGACTTCAACTCCCAGAATTCTCCAGCAAGCCAGCATGGGGAATTCTGGGAGTTGAACAGTCCACACATCGTAAGGCTGCCAAGGTTGGGAAATACCATTCCAAGTTGTCAGAGCAAAGCCTTCATAACTCCGTCTAATGGTGCTTTTATGTCAACCAGAGAACAGGTGCGGCTGCTCAGTGGTGATGGATGGGCTTAGAGGTGTCTCTTTACTAAACAAGCCCTAAATCCTGAACAAGCGATGAGAATCGAGCCTTAGAGGTCATGGGATAATGGAAGAAGGTCCAGGCAGAAGAAAAGTGTATACATTTTTCACCATGCCCTAAAATGTCAGTGTGTGTGTGTGTGTGTGTCTGTCTGTCTGTCTGTCTGTCTGTCTGTCTCTCTCTCTCTCTCTCTCTCTCTCTGTGTGTGTGTGTGTGTGTGTGTGTGTGTGTGTGTGTGTCAGCTGCAAGATTAAACTATCCCCTTAGTGGTTTCTGTTATGTATGTTGTTCTTTTATATTTTATGTTATGGGAGGTTTTTTATTTTAGTCATTTTGCAGGCTTTGTATTTTCACCCAGCCGCCGCCTCCTCCTCCCCCTCCTCCTCCTCCTTCCTTCTTCTTCTCCTCCTCCTTCTGCTCCTCCTCCTCTTCTCCTTCTCCCCTCTTCCTCCTCCTCCCCTCCTCCTCTTCTCCTCCTTCTCCTCTCCTCCCTCTCCTTCTCCTCCTCTTCTTCTCTTCCTCCTCCTCCTCTTCTCCTCCTCCCCTCCTCCTCCTCCTCCCCTCCTCCTCTTCTCCTCCTTCTCCTCTCCTCCTCCTCCTTCTCCTCCTCCTCTTCTCCTTCTCCCCTCCTCCTCCTCCTCCTCCTCCCTTCCTTCCTTCTTCTTCTCCTCCTCCTTCTGCTCCTCCTCGTCTCCTCCCCTCTTCCTCCTCCTCCCCTCCTCCTCTTCTCCTCCTTCTCCTCTCCTCCTCCTTCTCCTCCTCCTCTTCTCCTTCTCCCCTCCTCCTCCTTCTCCTTCTCCTCCTCCTCTTCTCCTCCTTCTCCTCCCCCTCCTCTTCTTCTCTTTAAAAAAGCCCATTATACTTTTCTGCTTCTTCCCTCAGAAGCGCCGTGCGAATAATAGTGCAGTAAAATCGACAGTTGAATAACTTTTTTTTTTTAAGAGCAAACATCTTTTTATTGTTGTTCTCCAGCAATGCCAGATTTGGGTGATCAGGTTTGAGGGATCCTGAATAGGTCCTCAAATCGTAGGGTGGACACATAAACCCTAGGGTTATGCGATTAAAGTAGGGGACAGATTTGCCCAGAATAACAGAGGTGGAAGGGACATTGGAGGTCTTCTAGTCCACCCCCCTGCTCAAGCAGGAAATCCTATACCATTTGGTTGTCCAATATCTTCTTAAAGACTTCCAGTGTTGGTCCTATACCATTTGGTTGTCCAATATCTTCTTAAAGACTTCCAGTGTTGGT